TATCAATGAAATGATTGTTTCTCTTTCAAATCTTGGCTCTTTAAACCAGGCTTTGATGAAAAGAGGAACACAAGGCCAGAGTGGTGATCATCCTAGAGGGCCTCAAGTCTTCTTCCTCTCAGGGGGTGGAGACCACTGCCCTCACATGCTCTCAACCCCACAAATCTCTTATTGGACCTGCTTTTAAGTACCCAGGCCACCCCTCATGCCAGGGAGTTCACTGAAGAGAAGCCCGTTTTTTTCAGAGGCAAAACAAAACACAAACCACATCAAGCTGGGACTACACTTTTGAGGAGATAACAGCCTAACACTCCAACACCCTTTATCCAACCACTTCCCATCCCGTGGGGTTATTTTCCCCAGAGCCTCCAGAGCAGTGTCATGAGAAGATGCACAGATTAGTCATTTCCTCCTAATCGGGCTAAGACAGCTCCGTTAAGCTGCCGACTGCAGGCGGCTCCCATTAAAGCAAAGCAGCTGGAAAGGGCTTAGCCCTTTAATGCCAGCAGCTGTATCTCCACAGTGCGGCTGCTCTGCTGAGGGGCTGGACTCTGTCCAGAAGCACCAGGCTTTTAGCCCCATTCAATGTATATTAACCCAGGAGGAGAGAGCAGCCAGCTCCCTGGGAGGAGAGGAGGTGGCTCTTCTAAGCACCTCCACCCCCAGGCTTTGCTTCCCAACAAGGAAGAAAAATCCCAGCCCCTTTGAATCTCTCTCTCCTAAAATCTGGACAAACTATCATCTCACAGGCAGAAAAGAGCTTTCTCTGTGATGGGAGCAACCCTATTTTAAAAGGTAACCTAAGGACACATCCACTTTTTCTCTCAACAAAAAGAACTTCAGTCCACTAGACACCCAGGACTCATTCTCCTTTGAGGTTTGTTTGTTTTTGTTTTTTTAGTTGGAGTCTCACTCTGTCGCCCAAGCCAGAGTGCAGTGGCATGGTCACGGTTCACTGCAGCCTTAACATCCTAGGCTCAGCCTTGACATTTTGCCTTAGTCTCCTGAGTAACTGGGACTATAGGCGCCTGCCACCACACCTGGCTAATTTTTTTTGTTTGTAAAGACAATGTCTCACTATGTTACCTAGGCTAGTCTCGAACTCTTAGACTCAAGCAATCCTTCTGCCTTGGCCTCCCAAAGTGCTAGGATTATAAGTGTGAGCCACTGTAACCAACCTGAGCTGGTTTTTTTCTCTGAGATCTAAAGTATCCTTCTGATCCCAGGTATGTATGCAAGTGGACCCAAAAGACTGACTACCTCTTCTTGGAGAGCACTGGGCCTAGGGCTGATGAGGGGAAAAGCTGAACAGCCCTTGGAAAGCCCTGGCGCAGAGCAGGCTGTTGAAGAGAGATCACTCGAAGGCTTCTTACTCAGAGCCAGATGGTGAACATGAGAAGGGGTGAGAGCTAATGCCACTCAGGGGGAAAGCCAATAAGTTAATCCGCTGACACGTTTCTAGAAGCAGGCTGATGGCTTTGGCTCAGAGACTTGCTTGCCCTTGGCTTTGAGCTTCAGAGCACACAGGACGCACACGGGTGGCCTGAGAACAGGACGCACATGGGTGGCCTGCGAACAGACACCACCAGCCGCAACCTCGGGCGCCTACACATCATTTTCCTCATCCCACATAGAAACCAGCCCTGGATTATCAGGCCTAGTTGTTCCACTCTGTCAGACAATAACCACAGCCATCAGGGAATTCTGTTCCAAATGCCTTTCCCAGCAGTCTAGGCCTCCTTGCTCTTTCTGGGTCATCTGCTAAGTGTATGACTATGTCCACATCTATATGGTCCTCAGCAGAATCTATGGCTATAGGCTGGTTGTGGCTTACAAAGTACTTACTAATAATGGAAGAACTGAAATGTAAACAAGCATCTCTCTCTACAGCTTTGTTCATTTTATCCTTTGCAGAATGAGATCCTTCCTTGCATGGGACACAGATAACACTGGCTCCAAGCAAAGGCCATTTACTAGCATTTAAATACCTAATACATTAACGGTCCCATAATGCTAAACAAGTCTGAAATTCCAAGCACCATGGCTGACCTTCAGACTAAGAGCTGTAATTCCCAGTTTCTAACCCCAGATAAACTATACATTAGCTGGCGGGAGTTTGGGCCAAATCACCTCTGAATTTGTCAGTTGGGATAGGATCTTCTGCCCTGTTCACCTCATGTGAGTGTGAAAGCATTCTGTATATGGTAGATCACCATATTAAATTTCCTAGAGGCTCTAAGGGGACTCAGTCCTTAATTCCATCTTCAATATGACCAGAGAAGATTTAACTGGCAAGTGCTTTATTAGAAGTCTAAATATCCACTTACATGTGTCTGAGCCCAGCACACAGATGGTACCCAACTGTGTGAGGTATGAAAGTAATGCTGTATAAAGAACAATGCAGCTAAATGAAGCCTGGCAAGAGCTAGAGGGAGAAGGTAGACAAAAGGAGAAATTCCTGCTTCCAACTACGAATCCCTGAAGAGTGACCTCCTTCCCATTCCACACTTTGCAGAGGACAAAGCTCCCACACACTACAAGGTTATTCTTGATGACGTCAAGCTGTCTTCCGCCTGACTTTGTGAATAGAAACCATCAACAAATACAGCTCTGAGAACCAGTATCTCATAAATTACACAAGTTAGGGATCTCTTGGCCTGGCTTTCACTTATTTACAAAATATACCAGCTATAGGGAACACATAAAAAAATTGCTAAGTTCTTAAGTGGCTGTTCTCCAAACCCTGTTTACACTAAAACACAATGGCCAACACGCCCCAACTCTGCATGCTTAAAAGTTTTTTGCACCAGTAGCTGAAATCTGAGTCACCACCAAGACCATCATCAAAGCACATTGATTGAGAATCTACTGTGTGTGCTGCGCCGGCTTGAACACTGAACTCTGTGCCACCCTCACTTTTCAAATCTGGGCATCCACACCAGCTCTTTCCCTGCTCATGCTGAGAGTCTAAGAAAAGGTGTTGCATGATTCAGAGAAACACTCGGCAAGCCAGGCATAGCAGAGAGGCCCCCAATTGCTTTTCCAATAGGAAATCACATACTATGTGTGCACGTATGTGCATGTGCAGGTATGTACTATGCATCTAAAGCTAGACAGGTGGGCAGGAAGGCCCTACCGTAACAAAACAAAAACCTCAAGCCTGCTATCTGCTCCCTGCACTCACTCAACTTTCCTTGTCATTTTGTGCTGCCTAGTAATTTAAGCATGCATTTGAGAATGCAAGATCTCTTTCAATGCCACAGGTTAAGTTATAAGCAAAAGTGACTATTTTTTTCTCCTAATAAATCAACTGTGCACCCTAAAAGTCCTCTGACTGAAACTTAGATGCTTTCTTGATTTCCATTTCTGCAAGCAATAAATTCACCTTCTTAAGGAAGAAATTGTTAAATCACAGTAATAAACTCAAATTGCTGTGGTTAAATCAAACTATGTAATGCTTGCCCAGTTAAACAAGCATCAAACTCAGGAGTCTTACATCAACTGGGGAAAAAGAGGTACATGCTACGATGTAAAGATTCTGTTTATTAGCAAGTGGGATAGTCAAGTTAAACTGCATTAAAAGCATAGTAAGAGGCAGCATAGGAAAGGGTTAGGAGTAAGAGATGGGGTGATGACCATTCCAAAGCACGGAACCTCTTTCCACAGCGCTCCTATCAAATAGACCTAATTTAATTAAGAAAGCCCTCTCAAGTCAGTTGTGCCACATGAAGTACTGTTAAAGAATTTGAGGGTGGGTACATATTTCCCTTTGTTAATATCATAATTATTTTCGTGGCTCAGGTCTCTTGGCCTAGCCCTAAAACTGAGCAAATGGTTGCCAACATTTGACACATAAGGACCATTTCCTTTTTCGTTAATGGACCATCAGTTCCTGCATAGGATAGTCTTGCCTTCACTAACGTTACACAATCCATTTACTTCCTCTACATTAGTGACTTAAAATGCACTTTGGGGAGATACTACAGAACAGCAAATATGGAACCAAGCCAAGACCAGGCTTGTAAAGACATAAGAAAAGAGGTAGCATCTAGGACAGAGTTTAAAAAAAATAAAGCCTAGCAGGCATGTGTGTGAAGGGGGGTACGGAACCCATCCTCTGTCAATTTGCTGAGGCAGATGGGCCCTGCTGTGAGAGCTGCCCCCTCCTGGGAAAAAAGCCAGTAGGTTGCCTTCTCTCTCCACGGTTACATATTAAGCCTGCAACTGTTTACGTTCAATCTCAGATACATTCTGTTCACCAGCTTCAGAGTTCCAAGTACAGGTGCCCTCAGTTAATCATCCCAGCTCACTTCAGAGTCACTTCCAGCAGTGAAGGATGTTCCAGGCAGCCAGCCAGCCAGAGGCAATTTTGTAAAAAATCTGTACCATTCTTGTCCCTAAAGAGTTGTTTAAAAAGTTTGTTTTTTTGTTTAAAGTACAGTCATGTACCGCATGATGATGTTTTGGTCAAGGAGGGATACCATATACAATAGTAGTCCCGTTAAGATTATAATACTGTATTTTTATTGTACCTTTTCTATGTTTAGATACACAAATACTTACCAATGTATTACAACTGCCTACAGTAGTCAGTGCACTAACATGCTATACAGGTGTGCAGGCCAGGAGCAAGAGGCTCTACCATATAGCCTAGGTGTATAGTAGACTGTACCATCTAGACTCATGTAAGGATATTCCATGCAGTTCCCACAACAATGACATCACCTAAGAAAACATTTCTCAGAATGCATCCCCATCATTAAGACGCATAACTGTGGTAAACAAGAGGATAACAGCACAGGACAAACCTAGGACTTCAGTTTGGACAAAGAAAATGACTGAATGGAAAATGAAAAAACAAACTTTTGGCAGTGGTGAGATTGGCATGGATCCAGAAAGTGGGAAATGGAGATAAACAATAGAATCAAGACACACTGAAGAAAAGTATTTTCTAAAAGGCATTGAAGACTACCTTCTAGGACAAGAAAGCCAACCTTACGTTCATTTTGAAAAAGCTATTTACTTTTTTCCAAATATGTGTTTTATAGGCAAGGGTCAATTTGAATCAGAAACATTCTATAGACGCAAACCATTTTTACAGACATTGAGAAAACTTCTAACAGAAGATAAAGCTTACATTTATCTAGATGTGGCTACGTTCCACGGGAAAATTTCAGCATCCAAAGTGCAAAGACAAATGATTGTGGCTCTTCTTACCACATGAAATATTGACAATCTTCCCTTACAGCCTACTCTTTAAATTGTTAGCTGAGGTGCCAAATAGACGGCATTCTGACCTTTAGAAGTAGAACTCCGCTGGACAAGGTGGGGGAGTCAAGCATCAGAATGAACTTAACTTTAGAGGAAAAAACTGGCTTTGACCCCAGTCAAACCCAAATTCCAGCCAGTGGCCCGTCAGAGATAAATATAAGTTGTACTATCACATTTACAGGGCTATGCCACTATTAAGACCCAATCAATTCAAATTAAAGCTAAGGATATTCCCTTCACTAGTTTTGTCTTTAACATTTTTATGAAGGCACCATGTCATAGCTCAACTCATAATGGGGGAAGTTCCCAGAAGGAGCCATCCTAAATGATCTGTCCAACCCCTTCTTTACCCTGCCCTCCCACTTCCCACCCTGAGACAAATCAGTCTTATCAGAGAGGTAGGGTTTCTGCCACTGTCTCGTGGAAATTAGTTCTAAATGACAACAGAGAAAGCTCATTCCATGAGCGGCGTTTGGCTTTAAGCCAAAGGGACAAACCCCTGCCCCCCAAAAAGAATCACAATGAATTCCATACTACCTCTTCAACCCCTTGGGAGATCTGCCTCTAAAAGCTCCCAACAATGACCAGCACAGGGTGCTGATACTATGTTACTAGAGAAGGAGATACACATAGTTTTAATAAAACCCTCATGCACAGTTAAACATGATTAAAAGCCTGGAGAATGCTAAAAGGAGTCATGAGTACAGGAGGCTGCAGAGTAGAGTACAGGTGTGTCCTTTCTTATAGTCAGTCACTGCTAGGAAATAACAGGCAGATGTGACCTCACTTGAGCATTGGAGAAGCAAAAAAGTTGCCTTGTCGTCCCAGGTTGGTAGCAGACTTGCTTTTGCTCCCAAATCTACAAAGAAAAAGAATAAACTGAAAAGTGTTCCATAAAAAAACATGAATAAACAACTGTAATATTACTTGACACAATTCACTAAAATTAGGAAACCCTTGTAAAGTACTCTTAAAGTCACCTGAAATGAGAGGGGAAAGTAAAGACGTTCAGACTATTTAATTATTTAGAGTCAGGGTCTCACTCTGTCACACAGGATGGAGTGCAATGGCACAATTAGGGCTTACCACAGCCTTGAACTCCCAGGCTCAAGTGATCCTTCTGCCTCAGCCTCCTGAGTAGCTGGGGCCACAGGCACACACCACCACATCTGGCTAATTTTCTTATTTTTTTTGGTAGAGACGAGGTCTCGCTAGGTTGCCAGAGCTTGTCTCAAACTCCTGGGCTCAGCCTCCCAATGTGTTGGATTACAGATGTGAGCCACCATGCCCAGCCAACTTTAAGACTCTTTAAAAAAGGGATTCTTTGGCTGGACATGGTGGCTCACGTCTGTAATTCTAGCACTTTGGAAGGCCGAGGTGAGAGGATTGCCTGAGCCCAGGGGTTCGAAACCAGCCTGGGCAACCTGGTGAGACCTCATCTCTACAACAAATAAACGCGCAGGCATGGTGGCGCGTGCCTATAGTTCCAGCTACTTGGAAGGCTGAGGTAAAAGGATCACCTGAGCCCAACAGTTTGAGGCTGCAGTGGTCGTGAGCGTGCTACTGCACTCCAGTCTGGGTGACAGAGTGAGACTCTAACTCCAAAAAAAAGGAAGAGATTCTTATGGCTCAAGTTCCCTTTTTATTTTTTAGAGAAGGGGGAGGTCTTCCTCTATCACCAGGTTGGAGTGTGGACACATGATCATAGCTCAATGTAGTCTTGAATTCCTGGGCTTAAGCCATCCTCCCACTTCAGCCTCCCAAGTAGTTGGGACTAGAGGCACATGCCACCACATACAGCTGATTTAATAAAATATTTTTTTGTAGAGACGGAGTCTGACTATGTTACCCAGGTTGGTATCCAACTTCTGGCGTCAAGGGATCCTCCTGCCTTGGCTTCCAAAGCACTGGGATTAAGATCTGATGCCCAGTCCCAAGTTCCCTATTAAAGTCTAGTTGCTAGCTGAAATCTAATTCAATTTTTCTCTCAAAGAGCTTCAATAAGACGAGAAAGAAGTCTAAGAAGGTGCCATGTTTATTTCCTAAGAAGGTAATCCTGCATACCTGGGAGTGTTCTTGGTGAGGGTGGAGCGGACTCTCTGCGACAGAGAACTGGATGAAGGAGTCTTGAGAAGCTGATGCTCAGGAGTGGTCACAGGTCCCAGTAAACTCACTTCAAACAAAGTTCATACATATTTTAAACAAGAGGGAAAAAAAGAAGGCACCCCTCAGATGGCCAGTTTTAAGCTGACTATCCTCTGGAACATTTAAGAGCTAAGGTTAGACACCTAGCAAAGTTCCAGAGCTCATTTTTTGTCACAATTTTGTAACACACTAGTATACCTTTTGCAGGGAACTACTCAATGAATAGCTGACATTCACTCCCTGATTCAGGTCATTCTCTAATCCCAAACTTCACAAATGTAACATCTAAACATTGGACTTTTATACTGGAGGAAACGATATGCTTCCTTAAAAAGGAACTTGCGATTATGAAAGAATTGGCCTCCAATGTCAGTGAGGTTGGAATAAAACCAGTCTAGTCATACAAGATTGTTGGTTCACAATATAAACTGGCAAGTCTTTAAGAAATCAAGTTGGTAAATCATATCAAGAAACATAAAAATGTTGAAGCCTCTAACTCAGTGATTCCCACTCTTAAGAATTTATCATTAAAGGAAAAAATCCATATATACAATGTTAGCTACAGCATTACTTGTAATTATCAAAAATTGAATTATAATGTCAATTCCTAATAGAATATTTAGAGGGAAAAACAGTTTACAACCATAAAATAATAAATCAGATATCAGAAAAAGTCTTCACAATAGGCTATGTAAAATTAGTGCATACTACACTAAACTATTATTGTATCTATATATAAAATGTATATACAAAGCCAAGTTCGGTGGCTCAGCCTGTAATCCCGCGCTTTGGGAGGCTGAGGTGAGTGAACTGCCTGAGCCCGCGGGTTCGAGACTTGCCTGGGCAACTTGACAAGACCTCATCTCTACAATAAATCAAAAAATCAGCAGGGCACGGTAGCGATGCCTGTAATTCCGGCTACTCGTAAGGCTGAGGCAGAAGGATCGCCGGAGCCCAGCGGGTCGAGGCTGCAGTGACCGCAAGCGGCCACTGCACTCCAGTCTGGGTGACAGAGTGAGACTCCAACTCAAAAAAAATAAAATAAATAAAATAAAATGTATATCATATGGGTTAAGAAAGAGAAATATGGGGAAAAAATTAGGATGATAGAATTATATGAATTTCCTTTAATGATAGAATTTTCAAAATAAATTTAATTTTTATTGAAGAATATGAATTTCAAACTCTAGGAAAGGCAAGGAGAGGGCATATGATTAAAACTAAAGAGGGAGTCAACTGAGACCTTACCTTTAACATCTGGTGTCTGTGGTGTTGAAAAGGCGTTTGTGTTTTCAATGACATGCAGGGGGTCAATGTTCTCTTGCTCTGCCATCATGTACTTACTCCAATATTCCAGGGGCAATGAAAGCAGGCGCTCTACCACCTACAAGCCACCAAATATGCTAGCAAAATTCCAAAATTCAAGGCTTACTTCTCACCATTCTCTCATCTTATCACATTACATAAGTTCATACATATATACATATCATTCACACACAACACACACACACACACACACACACGCCTACCTTGGGTTGACGCCTGGTATCCTGTAACATTGTCACTGGGTCTGGATTTGGCACAGCATGGGCAACTATTGTAGGGCCAAAGACTTTAGCCAGATTGACAACATCCATTTTAGTGTGTGGACTCAGAGCCACTCTAAGCAAAAGAGTATTAAATTAGAAGACTCACCCTTCTACTTAAATGCAAACCAAAATATAAAGTCTATAAGAAAACAACTCACCCCTCATACTCCCTAACACCCAGCCCATATTATCTTCCCCTCAGAAAATTCCCTAACTCCCAGAACAAGTTTCTGCAGGACTCACCTCTGCAAGTGAATCATGAGAAAAGCTAATGTGTCCCTGTTGGCTTGGGGCAGTTCACCAACAGCCTGGTACATGGCAGCTATGCTGTTGTCTTCATCTGTGATTTCTGTAAATGAAAAGAAAGCATCAAGAAGCCTAGACTTCTTTCCCTTGACAGCGGGCTTCCAAGTTATCGACCTCACCAAGTCTCATCTATACAGTAAGCTTCTGAAACTTCTGATTAGGTTCATGACTGCATCAGACTCCAGCTTCATTAACAAGAAGGATACTGGCCAACAACTCAATATTAGAAGTCAGAACTTTAAAAAAAAAAATCAACCCTTGCAGTTAGGGAAAACAGCTGGCAACCCACATACTAGAAAGACAGGCATACAACTGCAAGGACAGCTATCAGGGTATTCATTCATAAAATGTGTTTCAGGGCCTACTGTGTGCTGGGCACTGTTCTAAGTGCTTAGCATAAAGTAAAGTAAACAGGATAAAGTAAGGTAAACAAAGTTCGTGCCTTATGGAACATACATTCTATTGAAGGAGTTGGTCAAATGCATATCAGATAGAGTGATACATAAAGCAATTAAGGCAGGCAAGAAGCTAAAAGAAATGTAAGCTGCTCATTTAGACAGCAGTCAGGAAAGGTGGTTCTGAGGACAAGATATCTGATGAGAAACCTGAAGGAATTAAAGGAGTAAACCATACAGATATCTAGTGCAGAGCAGCGCAGGCTGAGACAGTAACAAATGTGATAACCTCAAGGTAGGAAGTAAGCTTGATATGTTTTAAAAACTGCAAAAATCCCAGTGTAAATGGAAAAGAAAGCAACAAGGGAAGGGTACTGAACAAAATAATGCTACAGAAGTCCAGGAGCCAAATCAGGTAGGGGTGTTTTTGGCTGTGTTAAAGACTGTGGACTTTATTCTGAAAGTGATGGAAAACTGCTGGAGGATACTGAGGATGGAAGGGACATCATCTACTGTAAATTTTATTTTTTATTTTGTTGAGTTGGAGTCTCACTCTGTCGCCCATGCTGGAGTGCAGTGGCATACTCATGGCCCATAGCAGGCTCAACCTGCTGGGTTCAAGGTGATCATTCCGCTTCAGTCTTCCAAGTAGCTGGAACTACAGGCACACGCCACCATGCCTAGGTAATTTTTTGATTTACTGTAGCAATGAGGTCTTGCCAAGTTGCCCAGGCTGGTCTCAAACATGTGGGTTCAGGCAATCCTCTTACCTCAGTCTCCCAAAGTGCTGGGATTATAGGTGTGAGGCACCACGCCCGGCCTACTGTAAATTTTTAAAGAATCACTTTCGCTCCTGTGCGAATCTCATACTTTAGAGGGCAAGAGTAAAACAGGACAGTAGATTCTTACAAAACTCCAGGGTGACAGGACATCAAGAGTGACTGTAGTACATCTACTACTATTCTTGACAAGTATCAAATTTAAGATATAGTTTACAAGACTGCTGACAAGATTGGACAAGGAATTAGGTGTGGGATATGAGGAAATCAAAGATGGTTCCAACTTCAAAGATGGCTCGGTGGCTCAGCCTGTAATCCCGCACCTTGGGAGGCTGAGGTGAGTGGATTGCCTGAGCCCGCGGGTTCAAGACCTGCCTGGGCAACTTGGCGAGACCTCATCTCTACAATAAATCAAAAAACTAGCTGGGCGTGGTAATGCTCGCCTGTAGTTCCAGCTACTTGGAAGGCTGAGGCGGAAGGATCGCCGGAGTCCAGCAGGTCAAGACTGCAGTGGCTGCTCCTGGGTGGCAGAGTGAGACTCCAACTCAAAAAAAAAAAAAAAAAAAAGTCAGGCTCGGTGGCTCAGCCCGTAATCCCGCGCCTTGGGAGGCTGAGGTGAGTGGATTGCCTGGGTTCGAGACCCACCTGGGCAACTTAGCAAGACCTCATCTCTACAATAAATCAAAAAACTAGCCGGGCGTGGTAATGCTCACCTGTAGTTCCAGCTACTTGGAAGGCTGAGGCGGAAGGATCGCCGGAGCCCAGCAGGTCGAGGCTGCAGTGACCAGGAGCGTGCCACTGCACTCCAGTCTGGGCGACAGAATGAGACTCCAACTCAAAAAAAAAAAAAGACAACCTCAATTCTACCAAAAACACAAGTGCAAGAAAAAAACCTGTTAATACCCTATACAATTTAGAAAGGAAGACAAGCATGAGGGACATGTATATAGTAATCCATCCACCAAACCATTTGAGCACCTACTATGTTTCAGGCACTGTACTAGGCAGGGGCTAAAGCAGTTAAAAGAAAAACTCTTACCCTGGTGGAATTCACGTTCAAATATTAAGATCTGCCTTTATTATCTGGGCACGGTGGCACATACCTGTAGTCCTAACTACTTGGGAGGCTGAGGTGGGGGATCACTTGAGCACAGGACAACGAGACCCCGTCTCTTAAAAAAAAAAAAAGATCTGCTCTTACCTGCTGCTTCCATGAAGGCTTTATTTAGTCGAAAGGTCAGAAGGGGTTCTTTGAGGTTTCGAAGGAAGTCTTTTAGAAGGCTACAGACAGCATGGATATCGTCCACTTTGCTGAGAAGGGGTACAGTTTTCATTCTGAGGAATTTCTCTTTCAGTTCTTTTACTGTCCGGTCACAGCCCGAGATCCTATACAGTCCTGTCTATTATCAAGATGACACTTTTATTTAAGAACCTCGTAATTAGCAAAAATAACAAATTCACCCTCTCTGAGGACTGACTCTTACCTCAGTTAGCCCTCTCTGCTCAATCTCATTTACACAGTGGACAATAATGGAAGGGATCATTGGAGAAGTCTGGGACACAAAATCTTCCAGCATTCCCTGACAAAAAAAGAACTTTAAATTATTATTTATACCACTTAGACCAACAGATGAAGACCATGTATGAAGAATCAACTCCAAACTAACACCCAGGCTAGGAGGACATCATGTCTACTTCCAAGTTCTTACTCTCAAAGCGTATATTAAATCAGAGATTCTTGGGCCAGGCATGGTGGCTCACGCCTGTAATTCTAGAACTTTGGGAGGCAGAGGCAAGAGACCTGCCTGAACCCAACGTTTGAGACCAATCAGGGCAATTTGGGAAGACTTCATCCCTACAATAAATCAAAAAATTAGCTGGGCATGATGGTGCATGCTTGTAGTTCCAGATATTTGGAAGGTTGAATGGAAGGGTTGCCTGAGCCCAGCAGGTTGAGGCTGTGATGGCTGTGAGTGTGCCATTATACTCCCACCTGAGTGACTTTGACTCAAAATAACAAAAAGCGAGATTCTCATTCATGTTTCCTACCTCCACACCAGGACTAATTTATGATCAAATGTATCACTTTTTTTTTTTTGAGTCACAGTCTCACTCTGCCACCCAGGCTGGAGTGCAGCGGCAAGCTCACACCCACTGCAGCCTCAACCTGCTGAGTTCAGATGATCCTTCCACCTCAGCCTTCTAAGTAGCTGGGGCTACAGGCGTGTGCCACCATGCCCGGCTAATTTTTGATTTATTGTAGAGATGAGGTCTTGTGAAGTTGCCCAGGCTGGTCTTGAACCCGTGGGCTCAGGCAATCCTCTCACCTTGGCCTCCCAAAGTGCTGGGATTATAGGCGTGAGCCACTGCAACTGCCCTATACCACATTCTTATATGCATAACAAATAAGACCACCAGCTCCAACTATCCCCTCCTCTACTCCAGGACAGCAGGAAGCAAGCAATAATGAGGTTAAAGGCATGGTCTTTAATAAAAGCCAATGCATTATTCTAAATAAGAAAATTTTTTTAACACTTTCATTATTTTCAGGAAAAAAATTATTTAATAAACCTCACAGTTGGTCATGACACAATCTACCTGTGGGGGAAATCTCTGTGGTTCTATATTTGAGCACAGAAAATTTGTAAAAAAATTTATATACACAGACAAGAACTCTTAAGATTAGGGGAAATAACATTTAATTTGTTGAGTGGTAGGTAGCATCACAGTCATTTTGTTTTGATTTTTGCTAATGTTGCCTATATAAGAAACATTTTCTTAATGGATTGAATCAGTTTTTAGAAATAAGCAACTTGTGGCTCAGCCTGTCATCCCACGCCTTTGGGAGGCTGAGGTGAGTGGATTGCCTGAGCCTGCGAGTTCGAGACCCGCCTGGGCAGCAAGACCTCATCTCTACAATA